AGCTTGAAGGAGAGTAATACGGAATGCTAAGTTTTTCCATGATTAAATGGCATCATTAAGAAACCAATAATCAAGTGATCACATTTTAGGATGTGATGGTCGATGTTCTTGATTTCAATCTCGGGATGCCAATGCATCATTTTCTAACCATAGTTATCCGGTCTCCAATGTATGTAGTCTTGAAGTACTTGCAGAAATCTGTGTGACAGAGGCATAGAGTAGTTTGGTGACGTTATTAGGAGCCATGTCAGGATGAGAGGTGAGGGACAAGAAGGATGGCTGTTGGTTTTTGCAGCAAGGCCACTGTGCTTGCATATTTGACAAAGCATTTTGTGTCATGTTTTCTCGCAGCAGTAAAGGATGAGGCCGGGTGAGGTGGAGTTTCTGGAATGGGTGCTACTGGTTGGGGTGTCAAGTTTTTCGGTGGCAGTGAGATGGCTGATAGAAGCGACTAAGGTTGCAAAGATGTGGGTTATAACATCAAATCCAAAGGTGGCGGCGGTAGCGTCTGAACTTCTGACAGCAACAAAGCAGACATTGGAGGAAGTGGAGGCACGGGAGTTGGGCTGTTTTTGCTGGAAGTGAAGTCGTTGGGTGTGGAAGAACCGGTGTTTAGTGCGGTGGTAGGGAAGCGTGCCGTATTTTCATGGTGCAACTACCTTTGTAAATATTCTTCCCTTGAAGTTCAAGCAAGGCAGTTTTGAAAGGGTTAAAAGGTATGCACGTATAAAGGTTTTATGCAGAGAAGATTTTTATTATTTCTCATTTCAGCATACCACACACACCATGGTCATCCCAAGTTTTACATATTTATAATACTTGGGTGACATTAAAAACAAACAGCAGTAACTCTGGCAACACAAAGAGCCATATAACTGATATTAGCGCAATTTTGAGAGCTTGATTTCCGAGTTTTTCTTGGAGGCGATTCTGGCTGGGATTCTGCATCACTATCGAGAGCTTGATTTTGCTCAGCATCATTATCATTTCTTTCAAACTGATCACCAAAGTCAAGTGTCTGCCATTTTTGGGGCTCAACAGGATCCGAGAAGTTGTAGCAGGCATTTTCATCAAAGCGAACATCCCTACTAATCACGATTTTTTTCGTTAAAGGATTATAAAGCTTGTAAGCTTTAGTTCTCAGGCTATAGCCGATGAAAATGCATTTCTCCGATTTATCATCAAGCTTCGATCTCAAAGCATCTGGAATATGAGAATATGCCACACAGCCAAATATTTTCAAATGAAAGACATTTGGCTTTTTACCATACCAGACTTCATTTGGTGTCAAATCATTCAAGTGCTTTGTTGGTAACCTATTCGTCAAGTAGACAGCACATGCCACTGGTTCGGCCCAAAAAATTGCTGGCAAATTTTTCTTCTTCAGCATGCATCTCACCATATTCATTATCGTTTGATTTTTGCGCTCTGCTACTCCATTTTTTTGAGGTGAGTACCTAGCGGTTAACTTGTGGCGAATACCATGGTTCTAACAGAACACCTCAAATTGAGAGGACAAATATTTTCCTCCACGATCGCTCCTCAGATTCTTTATTTGCACTCCAGCAGATCTTTCTGCCTGACTTTTGAAATCTTTAAAGCATGCGAGTGTCTCAGATTTTTATTTTACACAATATAACCAAATTTTTCTTGTGTAATCATCAACAAATAACAAGAAATACCGGCTACCCCCAAGCGATGGCACCTGCATCGGTCCACAGAGATCACTATGAGCAAGCTCAAGAGGTTTTTGTGACAGCCACTTCGATTTGGATGGGAATGATTCGCGATGTTGCTTTCCAAACTGACATTCCTCGCATACTTCATTGATTTCCTCTAATTTTGGCAATCCTTCGACAATGCCTTTCTTGGAAAGCTCTACCAAACTCCGAAAATTTAAGTGCCCGAATCTGTCATGCCACAATTTCGAGACTTCATTACTGGAATTTGCAACAAGACACGTGCCATTGATTATATTCATTTTCAGAGGAAACAGATTGTTTGATCCTAGAACAATGTTTGCAATGACTTGGTTGTTCTTCTTCATGATACACACATTCCCAGAAAATTTGATATCAATACCTTTCCGTAGTAAATGACCTACGCTTAGGAGATTGCTTTGTAGGCCTGGTACATAGAGTACCTCCGACATCTTCTCAATTGTTCCAGTTTTTGTCTTGAAACTTATTTCACCAATGCCTTTAATTTTGTATGACTTGGCATCTCCAATGGTAACTTGTCCATTTTTCGCCTCCTTGAGACTGGAAAAGAAATTTTTATTTCCAGTCATATGTCGACTTGCTCCGCTATCCAAATACCATACGTCTTCAATATTATTATTAGCAGCAAACAACAAAGTATCGGTATTTCCTTCATCATTATGTACGAAACCAACCACATGCCTCTTTTCACCCATAGGTTTCTTTTCCGGATGTTTTTCCCAACAATCACTTCCTTTATGCCCAGGTTTGTGACAGTAGTAACACTCGATATAACCTTTTGTACCTTTATAAGTGTTGCGACCTCTACCCCTTTGTGAGTTCTGGTAAAATTTCTCTTCATTTCTCGAATCAAAAACACGTTGATTTGACAAATGTTTTCCACCACAACCTCTACCATGTCCACGGATAGATCGTTGGCCTCTCGAGTGAGTAATCTGTGACTTCAATGCTTGGTCTGAAAACTGAGGAGCCGAAATAGGCTTAGAACTTCTCTGCAAAAGTCTAATCTCCTGCGCCTCTAATCTTCCGTGTAAACCTTCAAGAGATATTGTGGAGAGATCGTTTGATTCTTCAATGGCAACCACAATATGATCAAACTTTGGGGGCAAGCTCCATAAGATTTTCTCAACCCCCTTTTTAGTTTCCATAATTTCTCCATTTGTTGCCATTTGATTGATAATTGAAGCGACACGATCGACATACTTTGCTACCTTTTCGTCTTCTCTCATTTCAAGCTTTTCAAATTCTGCTCGCAAGAGCTGCAAACGGACCTGCTTTACTTGATCTTGCCCAGAGTACATCGTTTCCAATATGTTCCATGCTTCCTGGGCATTCGAGACTTTTGAAATTCTCTCATAGACCGGAATTTCAAGCGCCTGATAAATCTGAAAGAGAGCCTTCCTATCATTTTGCTTTCTGGTCTTCAAAAGATTTTTTTGAGCTTCTGTAAGTTCAGACTCATCTTCTGGAGCACCTATTCCATCCACAACGACACTCCACAAATCTTGAGATTCAAGACACAGCTTCATTAGATAGCTCCAGTAGTCATATTTTTCACCAGAGAATCGAGGCACGAGTGAAACAGGACTGGATGACATTTTTTTATTTGCTGGCTCTGATACCAGTTTGAAAGGGTTAAAAGGTATGCTTGTATAAAGGTTTTATGCAGAGAAGATTTTTATTATTTCTCATTTCAGCATACCACACACACAATGGTCATCCCAAGTTTTACATATTTATAATACTTGGGTGACATTAAAAACAAACAGCAGTAACTCTGGCAACACAAAGAGCCATATAACTGATATTAGATAATAATTTGTTGCAAGTAAAGAGACACTTAGACAAAAAAAAAACTGTTTTCTCATCATTATTTTTGGTTTATTTGCAACAAGTTTGCTGTGTCTAGACAGGAATAAAAAATTCAATCTCACCGAAAGCACACAATAGATCATATTTATTAACAGAAGTACAGAAGAACATAAGTGAGTGTGTCGGAGACGTGTAAAGTTGGATAATCCATTTTTTCAAAATTTTCACCAGATTTTTTTAACGAAAAAAGAAAAAAGAGGAAAGTGATTGAGAGTGATTAACGTACTGTTTAACAATTCGCTCAATTTCAAAGAACTAATCCTAAAAAGCGCACAAAAAAATTCAGAATGTTCCAAATAATCAAAGAGCATACCTAACCTAAATGAAAAACACCAATTACTGGAGTGTTGCTAGTGGGTTGCTCGTGTGATTCTGCAAAATGGAGAACCTGCTACCGGTGTATGAAATTTCTGGTTTCTGCCAAGGTTGTTAAAATCTCGATTTGAATCGTAAAATCGTACGATTTTACGATTCAAAATCAACCAATCGATTCAGATCGTATGCAAAATCGGATTTGCATAAAATTGGAAAAAATCTGACTGAAATCGTTTAAAGTCGCATGAAATCGCGATTACACAACAATTTTAAGATTTTAATTTCAAGCCTATACCGAAAAAATCAAGCCCGTCTGAGCTAGAATTAATTGGTGTCCGTCTTGAATAATAAGAAAACAACAACAACAACAACAACAATTATAATAATAATAGGAAACAACTACTAACTAATTTAAATACTAATATTGATAATAATAAGTGTAGATAATATGAAGTAATAATAATCCTACCTCCGGCCCGCTTAGAGGTTCCCATTACAAAATGACACGATTATTTAGACAATAATTAAATAAGGTAATTCGAGTATATTTTGAGAAATAGGTTTGATGATAACTTTTATGTTATAGATGTATTATTTTTAATATTTGATGATTAAATTGTCATTTAAGAGTGTTGATTGTTACCTAAAATAGAAATGGGAACCTTTATATGGGACCCGTAGAAAAGGAAAGTGAGAATCTTAGAACGAGACGGAGGGAGTAATATTGATAATAATAATAATAATAATAATAATAATAATAATAATAACAACAACAACAACAACAAAGCACACTTGTATTGGTTAGTCTATGTCTTCACAAATGGAATGTTTCTGATAGCGATTAAAAGGTAATTGGAATTTGGAATATACAATCCCATATCATGTGAATTTTTTATTATAAAATCTCAAATAAATTTAAAAATCTATCATAGTCCCTCCAAATTTTCTGAAGCCTTCCACCCAAATACACCCTTAGAAAAATGTGTCATTATAATGTGAGTGTAGAGATAGTATCACATTTTAAGAAATCATCCTATAATTGCCTGGGGATGTTTTCTTTTCTAACTAATTTGTGTATCAATATATTACCAGTCAAGTGATCCAACAGATAAAGATGCATGGAAGGATAGAGGCACAGGTCAGCTATCTATAAAATGCAAAGAAGATGCTAACAAGGGTACACGGGAATCCAAACCCACTATTCTCATTCGAAATGAGGTAAGGCTTCTTTTAAATTTCCAACTTTGTGATGTCTTCTTTCCAAGAGTTTTACTTAGTTTTGTACGAGAGTGCGGTAGTGTTTGAATTTGCTTCATCATTTCAAAAGTGATTTAATTTAGAGATTTTGGTAAAAGTGTTAAATAGTAAAAGTTGATAGTGTTTGAGAATAGAAGTGCTTTTGATTAAGAAAGTAAAAGTTGGAGTGTTTGGTGAATAAATGATTTGTGATATAATATTTGAGTGTAGATACAAAAATACCCTTTCAAATATTAAATTTATATATTTAAAGAAGTCTACAATTATGATCTCCAACAACAACAACATCCAAGCCTTATTCCCAAAAGATTTTGGGATCGGCTAACATGAATCGATCCATGATATCAGAGCCAAAAAGAAAAGAAAGATAAGAAAAATAAATAGATAATGTAAGATGAAATGAATAAGATAAAGATAAATATAAGATAAAAAAACAAAAATAAGAAGATAAAAATAACATAAGAACATACTCCCTCCGTCCCTTAATACTTTGCCATCTTTCCTTTTTGGGACGTTCCAAAAAACTTTGCCACTTTCCCTTTTAATCAATTATTTTGTGGTTTCTGTTATTTCTCTCTCCTCTTCACAAACCTCAACCACACAGTTTTTACTTTATTATTCTCCGTGCCGATCAACTTTGTCAAAGTTTTAAGGGACGGAGGTAGTAAGAAATATAAAAAGATAAAAGAACATAAGAAAGATAATATATAAAAAATAACATAAGAACATGCAATTATGATCTCCACTTTGAAAAAATAAAATAGCAATTATGATCTCTATGTCTGGGCTACAGGAGGTTCCTCGCTCTCTTCCCCATTGATGTGACCAGACGGCCAGTGAACATGCATCACGTGTATTTCCTTTACTCCACACTCAACTTCTACACTCGACTAGTCGACTTCGTCTATTCTTCTCCGCCTCCTTGATTCATCAGCAGAAGCTTGGTTAGATCTTGGCTATGTGCACCAAACTGTTCGGGTTAGTTCACCTTGAAACCTAAATCCGATGGGGAAGATGGAAGGCCTGTAGAAGAAAGTTGGATCGGGAGATTGATGTGTCACAAGGGTAGTTTAGGATATGCATCATTAAGTTTAGGCATAAAAATTTCCCCAAAGTTTGAGATGTCGACCAAAGTTTAGGCCGCTTTCGGTTTTTGACTTGAAAATGCTTAAATTAAGTGGAAGGTTTTGATTGCAAACATTATGTTTAGTTTTTTTAAGCCAATAATTAGATAAGTGCTTTTGAGAAGCAATGACAAACATTACTTAATTATTCTTCTTTGTTTCCTTGCAGGTTGGCAGGGTGGTGCTTAATGCATTGCTATATCCAGGCATCAAGACAAACTTGCAAAAGAATTCGGTCGTTTCAATATTCCACACATCGGTAATACTCTTCACTCTGGGCATAGTGGGATTGGTTTGACCCCGCACTTTCTGTTAACCTTGTGCTTCCAGGCGTACAACTATGTTTGGAATGTGGGAAATAGTAGAGAAAGGAAAAAAATGTCGAGGAAAATGGTGTTTTTTAAGAGTAGTTGTACATAGGGAAATACAAGGAAAACCAAATTTGTCTAGGCGAAAGGAAACAATTGCCAAGGAAAGTTACTTTATTGTGTTTGGTTTTATCCAAGAAAGCGAGGAAAATGAATAATTCTAAGTGTCTTTAAGTTCATACATAAATTGATAAACGTTTATATTTTGACATATTTATATACTTTCTCTATCCTTCTTTTTTTCTTGTTTTGTCCCATAAATTTGACTTTCCTTTCAAGGAAGACATTCTATGGTTGATTCAGTTAACCTCTGACAAAATATATCCATTTTCATGAAAACATTGTATAGTCAAACATGGAGTTAAATAAGGGATGAAGGAAGTAATAGATATAATAAATAAAATGGATTTTGACAAATATAAAAAATAAATTTATCGAGTTAGATCCAATATTTTATTTTTCCCAACTTCCACACTCATCTAGTTCCCTCCATATTTTCTCTCTACGAATTTTCTGGTACCAAAGCTAGGTTGAACAAATACCTAATTATCCCCTAAGTTTTTTTTTTTGAAGTCCTTCGAATATTTGTGTCAATGACACTTTTGATACTTGAATTTGCATATTTCTACTTTTAGTCATTCAGATATTGTGAGAGATACACTTTTAGTCTTCGTCTCTTTGACATTCTGTTTTTATACATTTAGTCCCCCGACTGTTGTAAAAGTGTCACTTTTGGTCTTCCAACTATTGTTATTGTTACACTTTTAGTCCTTCCACTAATTTTTGCACAAAAAGTTGAGGAATAAAAGTGTCGTTTTTAGAATGATCAGATGATCAAAGGATTAAATTTGGAAAAATTTATAGTCGATTATCAAAAGTATCATTGGCACAATATTGAGAAGACTAAAAGTGGCACAAGCTATTTATCCCCCTGATTTCTTTGCCTTGCATTCCGGAAACTGGGTTCCAAAGGAACTACCATGTGATTTTCTTTGAAACTGATTGTGTAGAGTGGAGAGGATAGCAGCAGTGTTGTAGCGCAGACATGCTTGATACGTCTAAAATCTGTCGAGGAAAGAGATAAGTTGGCATCGATCATCCAGGAATATGCTCCTGCTTCATGACTCATGAGAGAGCAATGGAGCAAAATTATGGTTGTACGGAGTTTTTTTGTTGTCGCTTGAGCTGCATCAGGCTAGTCGCACTTGAGGATATTTTTAGATTAATCAAGTATTTAAGTAGAGAGAAGGATGGATAAGCGGGATTTCCCGCACCCATTCCCAAAATACGAAGATGCTTTTTTGTGCTTAATTCTCCTCTCTCCGTAGTCGAAATTGGCTAGTCCGACATTGCTGGATTAGCGTTCTTAACTTCGTACATATGCAATTCAATACGCTTCTTCCATTACATTTAAATGAATTTTTTTTGTTCCGTTTATTGGATAGAAAACCATACGTAGTTACGTACAAGTGAACTTCATTGTTAGTAGAATGTAGTATTAAATATCACATTATTAATACTAGATTCTCACCCGTGAGATGCACGGCAACACGGATGAAAATTTATAAAACTTATTAATATTATTTTTTCTACATTAACAATAATGTCAAACTAGGAAGGACCGCGTGAGGAATGACACAATCAGCCAATCAGGGAGTAGCACCTATTGAAGACAAGATGTAGGAGTCGCACCTACGGTGGTTTGGTCATGTGCGTAGAAGATTGAGTGATGCACCTGTCAGACGAGTTGAGATGTGTGGAGAAGAGGCAGGGAAGAGAGGGAGAAGAAGACCCAAACAGATGTGGGTTAAAGGAGTTCGAAGTGATATGCTTCTTTTGGGGTTGGATGAAGGCATGACTTTAGAGAGAACTAAGCGGAGGGCGGATATTCATGTGGAGTAGTGATCTCGTATCATCTTTTTCCCTCATCTTTTTTTCCTTGTTTTTTATTCTTATATATATAAGCATTATTTGTATCGCTTTTATTTTATCATTTTTATGTATATTCATCTCTTTTTATATTATCTTTTTATAATAGCTTATCTTTTTTATCTTTATTTTCCTTTTGGTTGTGATATCATGTATCGATTCATGTTAGCCGATCCCAATATCTTTTGGGACTAAGGCTTGGATGTTGTTGTTGTAACAATAATGTCAAAGATTGATAAGAATATAATGTATAAATGTTGGAAAAGAGAACAAATATGTAATGAGTTTATTTACATTAACATGAACACCAAACAATCATAATTTTTCTGTTGACAAAGTATCATAAAAATATAATATCTAAATGAGTGGAAAGAAAAATACACATAACAAAGAGTTCTATAATAAATATTTAAAAGAGAAATATGATTTGATTAATATACGTTGGAATGAGAAATTTGTCTACATTTCCCATAACATTGAGATATGAGGAATTGAAGTGATGCAACTATTAAGAAAAGTGAGTTTAAGTGATTGATATTGAATTATTAAAGGAAAATTAAAGTAAAAATGATCTAAAATCACATAAATTTTACCAAATTTGGTATACTAGGGATGGACCCGGGCAGGGCCGGTTCCGGGGTGGGGCCGGGCGGGCTTTTTTTGCAATTCCTTGGGCCCGGAACCGGCCCGGGTTGCTACCGGGTCCGGGCCTAACTGGGCCGGGCCCGGTTCAATACTTAATTTTTTTTTTTGCTTTCTTGTTATCCCCTGACCCCCCCCCTCACCCCACCCCCCAAACCTCCCCAAAACACCCAGCCCAACCCTAGGAAAAGAAAAAAAATTGAAAAAAAAAATGACCCAGGCCCGGCCGGAACCGCCCGGGCCGGTTCGCCCAAAATTGGGCTCGAACCCGGCCCGCCCGACCCGCCCACACGGGCTAAAAGCCCGGAACCAGCCAACCGGGCCTGGTCCGGGCCGGGCCCGCACAGTAGCGGGCCGGTTCGGTTTCGGGCCGGTTCGGCCCGGCCCAATCCATCCCTATGGTATACAATAATCTTAGTGGGACACACCGAAAAAGAATGATGAGACAATCTTAGTCGGACAGATGAAGTATAACAATATGAGCATTAAGTACGCCACAATTTTGGATTTCATTGTATTTAGAACTATAAAAAATGAATAATCAATACTATAAGCAATTAAATACATAAAATATGTAAAATATACTTTGTATAAACTATAAACTTTAAATATTATAAAATATGAAATATAATATAAAATATAAAAATAGAATATAAAACATAAAAATATATTGCGTAAGATACAATAAAGATATTGGCCATGCATTCAATACCACTTTAGCAATACAATTCCGCATTTATATACCAACCCTATTTTTTTGAGAGAACCATGTATCACCCCGAATAAAACAAATTCATTCAGTTCAAATCCAACCAAGCCCAGTCCAACTACCCCATGCGATGTCCGAATTTCCAATGAACCCAACCCTAAATTTAACCTATATAAATTGTCCTTTCCATTGCGCCGTTTCATTGATTCTCCGTACACAACATTCAGAAGATCATCGATTAATCCGATGGCCTCTCATACCGTCGTTTCATTGTTCGCTATCCTTCGATGATTATTAGCCCCCATTCAACACTACATATGTTGAAATCGTGAAATCAGTGACATTCGGTTTAGGTGCTTCCTTATCCGACCCTTGGAGGTGGCCGAAGAGATTTCTACGGTGACTGAAGTAATTCCTTATCAGATCAGTGAAATTTCTCAGACCATGTGTTCACTCTTCTCTCGATTTGGCTATATCCTTTACATCTCTGCCCTTGACTTAATTTTTTATACGGTTATAAATTACTATTTTTCTCTTATTTTTGATTTTGTGTGCATATCCTTGGTTTCTATCAGTTATTAGATTGGTTTGATGTTGGTGTGTTTCTTTTCTTTAAACAATGGAGGTTGTTTTATCTTTGCTGCTTGTTCAATGTGTTTGAAGTATTTAAGCATAGGCAAAAGGGTTTACACGATTTGCTCAGTTAGTCTATTTCGGTCTATCCTTTTTGGTAGACATTGACTATTTTTTGGTAGTTGTAGTCCGTTCCAATTAAAACTTCTAATTTCCCTTTTTATTAAAAAATTTGTTGTTCACAACATTTCTTACACATTTCTCTCTACTATGCAGAATTCTCCACCACATAATACTCACTATCTTAAATTGTGTGCCGACCCAATTTGGAAGATAAAATAGGAACGGAGGGAGTACTCCGTATATAATTCAAAAAGAGTGAAACAATCGTACTGCAGTCTTTGTGATAAAGAAACTTGTAGCACAAAAATGTCACAAGCCTTATATACTCACTCTACAACTTTTTCGAGTGCGCTACCTAACACTTCAAAAGTTCATTAAATGAGGTCTGAAAAGTTGTACCCCTTATTCTATTTCTTATGGAACATTATTATCTATCTGTTGGTTGATTAACTTACTTTTTTATTATTACACAATTTAACATTACACAATTTAACATGTAAAATCAAAAATTAAGTGTTAGGTTTAAAAACTAGCTTATAAACCTGAAAAGCCGGACTCTTAAGATGTCACTTTTTTGTCCACCATCATTATTTTTTATTTTAATCATAACTATGTAATTATTTAATCTGAATGAATTGGCTGAATCTACATAAATTGATCAAGGCTATGGTTGGCGATGCATTTCAGCCAATTATGGGCTGAAATTTCTTTATTTCAGCTAATAATTACTTAAGTAGCCCTGTTTGGAGGCCTGTCTAAACCAGGCTGAAAGTGAAAAAACCGGGCTGAATCAATCTGAGATACTTTGGTGGCAAACAGGGCCATCTTCAACAATTTCCTTCTCTACTATAATCACCTCTTCCGACCAGATATTTTTCATCTCAATTAGTTGTTGTAAGGTACAATTTCACACTTCAAAAACATTCTCAAATTTGATGCACTTATATCATTTAATGTTTTAATTTTATTTCCTTTCCTTTCACTGTAGGTTTTGGCTTCATGTCCCCATGCCCTGTATTTTCTTTTATGCTATTAATAAAATTTCTTTTGTTAAAAAAAAAGAGGTACAAATTCACATGTCGAGCCAATCAACCAATTAACTTCTAATTTTCTTAAGTGTTATAACCTGTAGTTGTTCCGGCAGTAATCGTTTTCAAACAAATTAAAGAAAATATCATATAATATGTACTTCGTATCAATGAAATTTTGCAAAGGAGTTTGTAATATTACTAATATCCATTGTTTTAGGTCAATTTAGAATAGGAAAATTCCAAGAAAAGTAATAAAGAAAATCGAGGAGATCAAAAAATTGCTTCTGCATAATAACAGGTACATCTAATGGAAGTAATCTGATGGAGACCGAGCACACATACATATATTAAACAGTTCGTATACTGTGGGACGATGGAGAAAGAGACAAGGAAAAGTGCATTGAGAAAAATGAAAAAATAGGGGTTGAAAAACCACAAACTGCTGCTGCCCAGGGGTCTTACCCGACCGGGTTAACCTCTTATCCGACCGGGTCTCTTGCCCAGACAGCTACTGCCACTGCCCAGGAGCTCCAAACTGCCCCTCACCTGCCCGGGGGTACGAATGACCCGACCGGGCCTTCTGCCCAGGGGTAGAAATTTTGGCCCAAACAGTGGGTATGCGAATGGAACATGAGGCTTCTGAAGATGACGACGATGAAGTCTTTTTGGAAGACAACGAAATCGTAGTAATGCATGAGACCGAGTTGCATCAAGACGATGTAGTAACCAAATGTGAGGTGATGAATGGAAAGAAGTTCAGGTTATTTGTTAAACCGTTTAAATGTGTGGAAGTTAGTGTGATTAGAGTGGACTCTTTTCTTCGACTTACGGATGACTTGGACAAAAAAGGCCTAACTTTCACCACCGAATGTCTAGAGAGATTACCGGGAGTTAAAAAGAAAAAAGGGGAGGTTTGCTTTGTCTCAAAGTTTACTACTCCCTTCCGACTTTTCTTTGGATGTTAAGGTAGGAACACCTATTTTGTGTTGTGCTAGGTTTGCTGGATTGTTTTGTTCCTGTTTGTGATTTGCGTTCAAAATGTTGATTGTGTGAGCGTGAGTTTTGATTTTGTGGTATCCCGGGTTATGGGATATGCACCTTGATTGTACACGTGAAGCATTGTATTATGCTATTTTTCTGGATATATATACTTACATTTTATCCAAAAAAAGAAAAAAGAAAACAACGCAGTTTGAACAATTTTTAATTAAAAATTTTCACGCGTGAAGAGTACACGTACGTGTGAACGGTAACTATTTTTTTGTTCCAGTACCAGAATGATGCAACTCACATGTAAATAAATATGACATACGCTAATAAGAAATGTCAATGCAAACAAGTTGAAATATAATTTGTCTAAAACATTGATTTCAATGTATAATAGAAAAATGAATCTAATTGCTAAATAACTTTACCTAAATGGTGAATATGTTTTGTTTTTAATATTAAGATCATAAAAGGTTTGAGAGAAATCTTTTCCCCCCCAAAAAATCAATATTTGCCCAAAAAAGTGATATAATTTTTTTTTTGTTTCAATAAAAGGGGTTTCCTTTCTGATGTAACTCGTGTTATGGAAAATGTAACTCGCGTTAATGTTAAAATCTAATTTAAGTGTATGCAAAATGTAACTTGTTCTGGCAAGACAAAATGTAACTTTTGAATATACAGATGTAACTCACGTATAAAAAGATGTAATTCATACATAATACTCTCTTCGTCCCATTTTGTAAGATACTTTACGGTTTACAGTGTTTGACTGATGATAAAGCAAATTGATCCTTGTAAACACTCAAATTAGTTTTAGAAAATAAAATTTACATATCCAGAAATTACTTAAAAACCGCTACAAAATTTGCAAAAAATAATTCAAATTTCATAAACTTTTTGAAATATAAAGTAAATGATTAAAAGTGATTTAAGTTGACCAAGTGAATAGTAAACGTATTTTACAATTTGGGACTGAGGGAGTAATATGCAACTCCATATAATATCAAATGTAATTCACTAACTTGCTGACACAAGTCCAAATATAATTCATGCACATGAATGATATAACTCGCGCACAAAAAGATGTAAGTGCAAGTATTTTCTAATGTAATTTAAGCCAAGTCAAAATATAATTTACCTAATATTGTATCACATATATGTATGTATATATATATATATATATATATATATATATATATATATATATATATATATATATATATATATATATATAAAAGAACGTGCATTGCTGCCTCTTGCCTTGTTAGCAACCCCCTAGCACTATAATATCAATCCGGCATCAGGATTGAATTCCGCCGCCTCGGGAGGGAGGAATTGCGCTGCCACACTTTCTCGTCGGTGATGGTGTCATGACCTTCGTCCTCGATGCTCTCTCTCAAGAAACGCAGTAGTTTTCTTATCTTGTTTTGTAGCGTAATAACAAAGTCCGCAAGCGCCAGTTTCACTAGGGAGCAAGAGTGCTTTCTTTTTTTTATTAATAAAACTACGCCGTTTGGAATCGGCACACCATGCGCAAGGTGGACCGATCCCACGGTATAATTTGCGTATATTAAAAGGGTGAAAGATAGAAATTATTAATAAATATTTTAATCTATTAATAAATCATATGTCCTTTAATGTAATTTCATATTATTCCAACACTTTTTCAGCTCTTTTTAATAAATAGGTATATTTCATTAAATAGCCTCTATTTCAGACATATCATTAGCCTTCAGTTCCAGCTCATTGTGCCAAACATAGCCCAAGTTTCGATTGAATTAACTGAATTTGTTGAATTTGGGGGTAATTGACCCAACATAGGATAGACCCAATACCGCTACGAATGAGTGGCCATATTAAGTGAATCCAAAAGTTTGTTAAGGTCTAAGGCCATCTTCAACAGTTAACACCATTTTTTACACTAAAATGGTGTAAACATCACATCAAACAGTATTTTATCTCCAATAGTTTACACCATTGTCATCACCAAAAAGGAATATTCTCTTTTTATTCTTTTTACTAACTTTTTACCATTCTTCTATTTAAGTATCTAACTATCTTATATTTATACATTAGCCCTTCATTTAATATTTTGACATTTCTCACATTATTTCACACATACAAATTAAAATACATCATTTTAATATGTATTTTCACGCATTTCACTAATTAAAACACAATAATCAGTATTTCACAAATACAAGCTAAAACCACATAAAATTAAACGTTACAATAATATTATAATAAATTGTACCTCATTATTAAAGTACTACTTAAACTTAAACCAATAGATTAAATAAATATTCTTAGTTTAGTTATCAGAATTTGAGAATTGTTCCCACAAACTTGGGTGGTTATAAAAATACAAAGAAATCAGATCAGGCCACATCAATTCTGACCAGACCAGACCTAATCAGACCGGATCAACATATTTGAGTCGAAGTAAAACTTCCAATTTGTTGTTTTAAAAATGGGCCAAAACTATAATAACCAAAACTTTGGGTCACATTTGAAAGAAAAAAAAAACACAAAAAAAGGATAGTGCAAGAAATGGCGTACGCCATATATAGCGCAAACCATTCCCCTCTCCCCCATTTTGGTGTAATGGTGTCAAGTTTGGTATTACTGTTGGAGCATTTTTTGCCAAATACACCATTTTGGTGTTGAAGATGGTGCTTGTTGGAGATGGCCTAAGGCTGAGCGGCTCTACCTATATGCCGCACGATACAAGATCCTTGGAGAAATTATTCAGGCCATTGTTGGAGGGCTCTCAGCTTGTTACCTCAGAATAATTAACGGGAAAATAAGGATTTGACGGGAAATGCATTTAATTCAACACATATGAAAGATTTTATGGTTGGAGCTAATCATTCAAAGACCGTGACATCACCACCACAACCTATCACATAGTAGTATAAATAGCATCATCTACTTCATTGTAAAAGGTTGCAACTTGTACTCAATGGCTTTAGTCCTTCTCTCTACTTCTTCTATATACTCTCATCTTAAAATAGAGCTCGACACTCGACTTGGTAAGGGAGTTTGTAATAGTTCTAAGACATTTATAGAACTTGACCGCTTTACGTATTTACCTCTCCCACTCTTCTTGTTATTACTTGTGCTAATATTCTACGAATGCCCATGGGAGGGTGTTGGGCCATTAGACCGAGAGTAATAAACCTCAACTGAACAGATAATATTAAAAATAGTTAAAATCATCATCTACATTAACTTAACAATTTCTGTCATAAAAGTAACTTCAACCTTGTTTATTTTAATTATTAAAAAATTCAATGCGTGAAATATAAAATTACCTATTTGATGAAATATTAAATGATAAAATTGATAAATCAAAAATAAGTTTCACCAAATTGCTCTAAAAATTAATTATGGAGTAATAACAAAACTTATGCCCCCTAACAAACCAAGTGAATTTCTATAAAAAATAAAGTAATGATAACAGTAAAAGGAGAAAACAGAAGTTGCAAAGTAAATAAAACAAAATGTCGGATTCCTCTAACAAAAGGGTTTTGGTCGTTATCTCATAAATCTCAAAAACATGGGGAGACCCATTTTGAAATCGACTAAATCAGTTGATTCTGCTGAAACTTATGAAATTATAGTTGAAGTGACTGTATTGGCTGATTCTGCTTATTTATGAAAAAAATATACTACATATTTAAAATATAATCCCTCCGTCTCGAAAAGGTTGGCCAAAGTTGACTTTCACTTGGATTAATACAGTAAAAAGTGTGTGGTTGAAATTTGTTCAGAGGAGAGAGAATTATTTTAGCCACATATTCCTTACTTTAAATGGAAATGACAAATCTTTTTGGGACATCCAAAAAAGGAAATTTGGCCAACCTTTTTGGGATGGAAGGAGTATTTTATTAATAAAATAAAGAAAAAATTCTATGAAAAATAGTTAAAATGGTCATCTACAGTAACTTCTGCTATAAAGCCAAACAAGTAACTCTAACCTTACTTATTTTATTATTACACAATTTAGCGCGCGAAATCAAAAGTTATGTGTTTGGTTAAATAGGTTGCTGATAAGCCTGATAAGCCGGAAAAACATAGTCACCAAACGAGTTCCACGTATTCTTGCCTTGTTGATACCAAACTCCTGTAAATTTAAGGGGTGTATTAGATTAGTATTTAGTGGTAAAATTTTAAAAGTTCTTGGATTTTAAAAGTTTAGGTGTATTTAATGTAGACTTTAAAGTCTATAAAAGTCTAGGCGTATTCAAACATACGTTCATTCTTATTGACTTCTAAAACCATGGATTCTCGTGGACTTTTAACTCATTTTTAGTACATGAATTCTCTGCAATTGTCTCTTCTCTTCAACAAAGTTTTTTGTGGACTTTTCTGATAATTTATACTCATCACAAGTACGCATAGATCTGGTCGCGGAATAACACTAGATTTGGCTCATTATTTACCTGGGATCACAAACTGGCCAACAGGTCCTAGACCAGTATCAGACGGGTCGGGAGGTGTTAGTATATATGTCCTAGCGACAATCATTTTCGTAGAGATTTATGTACTTGTTCAGATTTAGTTTTATATATTTGATATATACGACATTACACATTAATGATTAATGATGGGTCCCAAGTGAGGTAAAAGTCTAGAGGAGGTGAATAGACTTTTAAAATCTTTTCATTTTCAACCCTTTTTCCTCTAACAGAATGAGTTTCAATATCTTTGGGGAGATATTGAAACATACAGCGGAAGTGTTGACCTCAAAAGTGTGACACTTTATAGTAACAAAAGTTATGACCCTTTTAGTTGTGTGAGAGATGGGATAAACAAGATGCAAATGTGTTTGCCAGAATCGGCTAGCTCAAGGAGCAGGCTGCTGAATCTTTAAGGAGCAGACTGCCAGGTTACTGGGAGCTGACTGTTGAATCCTTCAGGAGCAGGCTGCTGATTTTTGATGTTGTGTCAATGTTTAAGGCACAGAGAGGGTCTATGACTTTGGACATTTTTTACCTTTATGAATAGACAAAACACATAGGTATGAAGGATTTAGACATATTGAAATAGATCACTTTGATGAATATAAACAAGGAGTTTGATTCACAGATGACTTGGGCAGTTTTTTGGACTGAAAATGAGTAAGTTGTTTTACTGGAAATTCTTGAAAGTGAGTGAGAACTTAAGTGTGTGTTGGGTGCTGAATATAAAAGGTGACACAAGATATATCCTGATTTAGAGGTGGTGTAA